GAGGAGGAAGAGGAGAGAGAGGAGGAGGAGGAGGAGGAGAGGAGGAGGAGAGAGGAGGAGGAGGAGAGGAGGAGGAGGAGGAGAGGAGGAGGAAGGGAGGAGGTGGAAGAGGAGGAGGAGAAGGAGGAGGTGGATGAGAAGAAGCAGAAGAAGAAGAAGAAGGAGGGAGAAGAAGAAAATGTATCAGGAGACTGAGAAGATGGAGGAGAATCAGACGGGATGAATAGAAATGAGAAAAAGAAGAGGTGGAAAAGAAAGGAAGAAACATTAAAAAAAGTAGAGGCAAGAGCAAAAAAAAAGGAAGTGGAGGGGGGAGTTAGAAACAAGGACATGAAAAACACCAAAGAAAAAAAACAAAAAAGACATATAACACTAAGAATGAAACAAGAATAAAATTGAAGATATACAATGAAAGAAAAAAAATTATGAGAGGAAAAGTTTACAAACCTTTTTTGACATTATGTGGTTCTGGAAGGTAGAACACAGTTTGTTTCCAGTGTGTTGGGGTGGCATGTGGACCAGTGGAGAAGAAAACTGGAGTTGGCATCTCAAAGTAAGTGTCAAAATATCCAACAAAACCTGTCAGCAAACCATCTCTTTGGACTGTTAGTGAAAATTCGGAAGAGAACTCTGTGTCGTTGGGAGTAATCGTCATGAGATCTAGGTCAAGAATTGTGTCTGGAAAACAAAAAATATCCATAAATTAGATATGATTTAAAAGGTCTTAATCACAGATATATCATCTTTTGAATCACAGTAGTTTATAATTAGTTTATATCCTTGTTTTAAGACATATCTGCCTTGTGCACCTTGTTAAGAACTGCACTTTGAAATATATCAGTACTAAAGAAATTTATCTATCGCATAACTATCATGCCAAATTGAAGGCTTCTGCTGTATTAAAAGTGAAGAAAATTGCTAGTAAAAAGACAGCTAATATTATGAAGAATTGGAAGGATATGACTGTCCTTAATAATATCACAAGTAAAACGTATAATTGCAACAACAGAAAACAAACAAATCAAAGCAGGAACAAAGAGAGCTTTACCTGAAGATGTAATAATTTTCTCCTCTTTGATGATGTCAGTGTTTGCTTCTTTAACAACATCACCTTTCATGCATGTCATTTTGAAGCCATAGACATCATCCCAAAAACTGACATACTTATGAAAGGCCTCTGAAAATGGAAAAGTTGATTTATCTTCAGAAATAGTATCATTTCAATGAATGGTGACAACATAATAAAGTTATTTCTGATGTGCACAAAACTACAAAAAATACTACCACAGAAATATAAAGAGTAATTGAAAAGCTAGGAAGCTGAAAATTGTGAAGCTGCTAATCTTAACTGTGTTTAAATATAAATTACCTTTACCTAGTCCCTAAATACTGTAGGTTTAATGTGTCATTGCATCATAAAAAAACTTTTAAAAAGCAACAACCAAAAATGTTTAAAGAAGTAAATCCAATCAAAAAAGATTTCAAACTGGATCCTTTGTTAACAAATTATCAGCTGAAACATTTGCTGAAATATGTGTAAAGGGAAAGGATGAAAAATACACATATAGGGTTTTGACTGAAAAATGTACATGAAGTAAAGGAGACAGTAAAACATTTTAAAAGGACTTCCTGAAAGAAATACCATGCCTTAATGAAATAACAATGCTTAAAGATGAAATGAACATGCCATGGCTGTTGTGGACCAAGGAGCAGGTGGCATCGCATAGAAATATATTAAATTAACCCTTCCCACCGGTGGCATGTATGAACAGATATGGCTGTTGTGGACCAAGGAGCAGGTGGCATCGCATAGCAACCAATTCCGTGCTGTCTGCTCATTGGGTGAAGCTGATTTTTCTCTAATAGCAGGAGCATCTTTTTTATGGTGAAACTTTTAGGCAATGGCAGCTAAAGTGAAGGTAAATCTTCACTTTTTTTTTCTTTTTTTATTAAAATATATGCTTTTAGGTGACTAATGCTGCATGCAAACTACCAAACAAGCCAGGCAGGGGAAACTATCGATGGGTGCCAACAATCCTGGGTTAATGGTCACTAGACAAATTTTTACCCTAGCCATAAAAGAAATAAAAAAGTAATGTATGTAAAAGGTCTAAGAAAAAGTAGAAAAATATGGACAATGACATAAAGAATCAAAACCATAATGAAAATTCCAAAGAAAAAGGAACAATTAAGGAAAAGATTATGAAGGGCAAAATTAGTCTGGAAAAACAGGCAAGGGTTCTTCAGGACTGCTTACACAAATTGGTTCTTTTGGCCTGTACTTCTAGTTCTATATTTGGTTGGGTATTCCTTTAAAGGAAAAATCAAATACACATATTTTGCTGTAACATTAATGCTCTGAAACAGAACATTTGGGTTTTCGGTTATCATTTGCCTCCAAACCTAGTTCAGATAATTGTTAAATCTTTACTTGTTTCTTGAACACAAGAAACACAGGTTATATGCCCAGATTATAAACATTAAACATCAAGTACTCAGCCACTGCTGAAGTGACAAAACACAGCATACCAGGAATTTTGCAAAGGATGTTGAAGAACATTTTTTTGAAACATTTGTCCAATCTATCATGCAATGAGAAAGCTGAACTCAAAATCCTCCTTACAGATAAATACAATTTGTCCTGACAAAAATTTGGGAGGTAATCTCTAAACTGACGTTGGTAAAGAAGAAAAGCTGCAAACCCAGACTCTGTCTTATACCTCTAAGTCTCATCTTAACACCTTCTGTAACAGGTCTGGCATAAGACCTTGTAAACACACAATGAAGTTTTTATCATTATTATTATTATTATCATTTATTAAGTGTATTATTTTCATTATCACTAAAATCATCATTGCTACTATTATCATCATCATTGTTATGATTTTTATTATCATTTTTATTACTATTACTATCATTATGATTACTAATGGGGTAATAAGGAATCGTAACTGGTGATTTCGGCCCCATTAAAATTGTTCCTAAATCACCCGGTGAATTCAGCCCAGCTGGTTCTAGAGTTTTCGGCCTGTGATTGAACAACAGACATTATCACTATATATGTACAAGTGAATTCTGTAATCTATCGGACCATATTGAACCATACCAGGCCCAATTGAAGGCAAATAAATGACCAGCGGACATGACCAGAGAGAGAGAGAAGAGGGGCATGGGAGGAGAGAAGGAGAGAGGGGAGAGGGAGGAGAGAGGGAGAGGGGGGGAGGGAGAGAGAGAGGAGAGAGAAGAGAGAAGAGAGAGAGAGGAGAGAGAGAGAGAGAGAGAGAGAGAGAGAGAGAGAGAGAGAGAGAGAGAGAGAGAGAGAGAGAGAGAGAGAGAGAGAGAGAGAGAGAGAGAGAGAGAGTAAACTATGGACAGGGAAGCCAGAGACAGAGACAGACATGTTGACTAAAACCAACAAAACAGACAAAAGCAGACAAAGATATTAAAACTGAGAAGATACACAGAGGTATGGTCACACAGACTAAATGAGTTAAACAAGCAGAAAAAAAATATAGAAACTTAGAAGATATCAATTAAGTACCTTCAAAAAACAAAAATTTCATTACTAACCATACAACCCAAACAATCTTTACTTTACCTTCATCTTCCATCCCTACAAGGTGCATTGTGCATCTGTTCGGCAGCAGGAGACCTCCCTCGGCTAGGTGCTTGTCTCTGGCATAAAGGACTGAATCCAGCATACCTTCAAATAGCAGGAAGTACCCCATCCATTCTGACACGATGTAGTCAAACTTGTGCTCAAATTCTAGGTCTTCAAGCTTTCCTTTGTGCAGTTTGATAACATCTTCTAAATTGTTCTCCCTGGAAGGTGAAACTTTGTCAAAAATATATCTCCATATGAAATGTATGGTGAAAAAATCATAATTCTACTCTTCCAGACATCATTCAAACCTCACATTTTAAACTTATCAGTTGTGTAAACTATAGGCGAGACAAAATGGCCATCTTTCTTGAGTTGATGAGTACACATGTATGGAATTACTCTAATGATACTTCAGACACATTCAAATCATTTTTATAAATTTTTATGGAGCAATATCAACTGTTAACCCCTTGCATCTAGATGCTTCACTGCCTGCACATGGTCTAAAATACAAGCATTAGGCTTACTTGAGCAGCCACTCTGATGAGTGTGTGGCTTGTAGGCTGGATGCACATGAACACTCATGTGCAATGAGAAGACTCAGTGCCTTCCTTTTAAAATATTTTCTCTTTTTCTGCATTAGCCTTTATAGCTTCTTCCCCATTTTCTAATGTCTATATTGTCATTCTATTTGCTTTATCCAGATGGTAATAGACTGTTTTCCTTGCACAGACTCTATATCATCTCTCTAGGTAGTCCAAAACTCAATAGAATAATAAGAAACATTTTGTTACATACATCATTAATTTTTTTCATATCAAATTTTCTGTAATACAATCTGGACTGCTGATCATGGTAGGCATGAATAGGATCCTGAGCATGGAAACAGCATCTTCCCTGAAGCTGGCACTCTCCCATGCATGACTTATGAATGGTACACTCCACACTCGTTTATAATGCAAAAGCCTCTTCCTAAATACCCACTGAGTCTATTACCCTCCAAGAGTTTAGTGCACTTGTGGCCAGTCATTCCCATCAACTGGGCCTTCAGCCAAAATTTTAATGAGAGCAAGTTCCTGTCACCCTGGCCCTCAGTCAATTTCCTCCATAACAATATATTCACGTCACCTGCCACTCAAGCCAAATTACTTGAGCAGCCACGTCATCTGGATCATAGGGGCTAACCAATTGGATCTGGTGATGTGGATGTCTCACCATAAAAAAATTTGGCTCCAGGGCAAGTCACGGGAACATCACATAATGGGAAAAATTTGGCTGAAGGGTGGGTGATGAGGTCTTTTTGTCATGAATGAACAAATCAACTGGTTGGAGATTGACTCAGCAGGCCTTTAGGAAGAAGCTTGTTTATGAACTGCAAGATATCCACCATTGCACA